TTCTGTTTGATATATAATACAAGCGAGTACCGTATCATTTCTTCCTCTCACATATTTTTAAAGTTTGTGGCAGATTTGTTTTTTAGAGCAATATATAAGCAAGTGTCGCTGAATGTTGCGTTATTGCGTCCAGGACTCACCAAATAACCAAATCTCACGCACGAATTTTGCAAAAGCAGTGAGTATAATTGCGTCCCGTAGGACGCAACAAAAATTCCCAGGTTGATATGCGAAAGTTGGAGGAGAATCATTTTCGCATCGTATACTGGTTATAATTTCAATGATTTACACATCTTTTCCATCTGTCATTTAGTGTAACAGTAACGACCCATCTGTGACCAGGGGCGGATCAAGCCGGCGGCAAGAGGGGGGGAGGGGCCAAATCTTGAGAAAATATTCAGCGGCGATTCAGCCAGCCGGCGAACGGCGAATCAGCGGGGCGATTTTTTTTTAGGGGGGTCAGGGGGTCGGGGGGGGGTTCAGGGGGCCGCTTTTGTTTTTTGTTGTTAAAGAGGTAAAAATTTACGTTACTATCCCATTTTTGTACCGGTTTGGGGGGGGGTAGGGGGGCCGGGCCACGAAATTTTTATACTCAAACAGGTTTGCAATTTCTTATATTTCCGTTCTTCTCAATGGCTGATAATGTCTACGTCATTAGCAGCTTGGAAAGAGGTCACAAACAATTAGACTTTGATTTTTTATTGCTTTGCCTCACTATTTATAAAGGAAAAAAAACTGAATAAACTGAGACTGGAACCCACAACTCTGAGATTGTATTACGCTGACCTTACCGATTGAGCCAACGATGGGTTGGTGAAAAGTGGTTATGCATGATTTCTATAACCCTATCACTCACCCTAACGATTACGTCATTGCTAATGACGTAACATATCAGTTTGGGAAAAAAAATAGCGGCCGGGCCGGTAGAATCTGCCCGTGGATCCGCGCCTGGATAAAATACAGATAACAAAATATACATACAAGACATATTGTTTCATAATTTGAAAAAAAAAATGAGTATAGTAATTGACAAAGTAATCAGAAAGTAACATGTCATCACATTTGTTTGACAACTAATATCATTTAAAGGAAACCCAGACAAGAAAAGTACAAACTGTGAAATGTGCAGGAACCTATAGAAAAACAGAGCTTGTGAAGAATAGGTTCCTGGGAGACTTGAAAGAATGACAGGAACAGAAAATGTTTAAAATTAAGACGGCAGTAATTTGACAAATAATTGTTTGCGGGTTCAATAAAATACAATAAAGAAAGAAAAAAGGAAAAAAACAAAAACAAATACAATAAAACGAAGTTTAATTGTGTCTTACATTATACTACCCTTATATAACTTGTATTACTGTAATATGCTTTGTATTGTATTGTATTATTGTATTATTGCAAATTATGTCCTGAAGTATGTTAAACTGTAACTAATATGTATTTTACTTTCATTCTTGAATTACTTGCCCACAATTATACAACTTCCACACAACTGCGCCAGGAGTGTCATTTTTTGACAGACAATAAATCGTAGAGTATGCATTTATTTCAACCACATGTTTGCACCTCCTGAACGTTTTAAAACCGAACGCTATTAGAGAGAAAAAAGATCCCCGAAAAGCATGGCTCTCAGAGTTTAAAAGCCTTCATATTCTAAATATCACAAGTAACAGCTTAAAGAGGCTGGTCCCCTTGGTCCGGCATGAGCAAAAGCTCCCCCCCCCCCCCCCCAAGATTTCTTTGAAAGCGGTATGTTGTAGAGGACCAGAGTTGTATGATTGGAGGGTACGTGTGGGTTGGTAGTGGTGAACTATTAAAAGAGTAGACTGCTTGTATTCTGGAGCTGTTCTGTTCATAATGTGATGACCTAAAGAAGGGATTTTAAAATTATACGTTCCTTTACGGATTTTGTAAGATAGGTGTCATGTGACAACGTTCGATTGACAAATAAGTGATGCGTGCAGCTGCGTTTTGTAGTTTTTGTAACTGTGCAATTTGTGAATTGGGTGCACGTACTGTTGCCGAAAGCCAGACGTGAAGAAATAATAAGTTTCTCTGTTGCCGAACGGGTCAGATATTTCCGTATGAAGCCAATATTGCGCAATTGATAGCGAACTGATCTGGAAATGCTGATGATTTGGATCAACCATACAACCTTTACATGCGAGGACTCATAAGAAGTGACGTTGATCACTACAGTCTTGCAGGAGAGAGGTCCACGAACTTACCGATTTCTCGACCAGCTCACAAAAACTAATTATTCCAATGTATGGACCCCCCCCCCCCCCCCCCCGACAAAGGCAGAAGCGACTTTAATACAAGGGCGCCCTCTGATGAAAGTAAATAATTACATTTTTTCAAAATACATGTTCAGCGAAGTCTACACTCGGTAGGGGACACCATGGGCATAGAAGAGATAGAGAGAGGGAGAGAGAGAGAGGGAGAGAGAGAGAGAGAGAGTATGAGAGAGGGAGATTACATAGAGCCCGACGGAGAGAAAGATAGATAGAAAGCGAGAGAGCAAGAAGAGTATTTAGTTTAGTTTGTTTTTGTTTTACAAAGCTACAAAACCGAATTTTAATATGTATACAAAGTAACGACAGTGTGAGTCAAAAAAAGTTGACACCTAGAAAAATGCTAATTATTTTAAGAATCATCTACGTACAGTGAATTATTATTCATCTCATGAAAGAGTGTTTTATCCCAAATCATTTAGTATCATTTTTGTGTGGAATGTGTTCACGCTTGGGTGAACAGAAGGCATTATTTGCTAGAGTGCAAAAATCGACTTGCGCCAAAGTTGCTTATGTGATGCTTGAATAAAACGGTTGGGATTTTGGTATTAATTTGGTCTTTGCAGATCCAATCAACATCCCTAACAAAATTAATCGTGTCACACATATCAAATATCAAATTTCAAATAACAAAGAACATTTGTGCGTGTGTATGTGTGTGTGTGACTTTGCTTCTGCAAATTGCATATGCAATGCATCTCATTTGATACATTCAATTCATTCAATTCACAGAGTTCAGTGAATACGCCCCTCTTTTTGGTTGCACCGTCAGTTGTCATTCTTTTTAAACCTAAAAAACAAATAATTACCACGGCGGGGTTTTTTTTAGGGGGAGAGATATCTGAACGAAACTTAAAAATGGAGAACTCAGGGCCATCTGTACACAGTGGCTTGGTTTCAGTTTGTCACACACAACAAGGCGGATTTTTTTTCTTCTGTGCTTTTTGTCTGGTTGTTAAATGGTAAATCGCCCGCCCCCTCCACCCCCCCCCCCCCTTTAACACGATCATGAAAAAAAGACATTAACACTCGATCAACAAAGCTTAGCGTGTTTATTGAAATTTGAATTTGAACAAGAGTCAAGTATATATATTTTTTAAACAGTATGAAATTTACGTTTCCATACATAATGTTAACTTAAATCGTATATCTACTACTGTAACAAACTATTTCAGTAATGAACAAGTACATGATTATAAATTGTTATGCAAAAGACATAATTTTGATTGTACGCAATGTACATGACTGTGCATAACAATCTTTACACAAAACTCGAGTCAAGTAAACTCAATAATACCACAAATATTCTTTTTATATCTTTTATTAGATTTAATCACTTCTTCCCTACAAGACAAATATTTATTTTTAAAGTAGAAATGCTGCTCATTAATAATTAAATGGGTTGGTTCTGGATCATGAAATAGGTCGACATCCAAAACATCTGATTATGGCCAGTAAATACTTGACAGTCATGTAGACACTATTATAGTTAAATGGTGTTGTGGTCTAGTGGATAAGTCTCCGGATAGTGAAGACCAAGGTACTGCCGGTTGTGTCACATCCCTATCGCAACACCCACGTCCTTTGGCAAGACATTAATCTACATTTTGTAACACTCGACCCAGGTGTGGTAAATGGGTATACCTAGAATGAATTCGTTTAAATCCCCACTGCACTAATTATAGCTACTTGCGCCCTCTATACAGCCAACAATGCCTAAGCGGTACCAATTGATCCCCATGATACTATTTTTCGTATGTTAATTGAGAGCTGATTTGATGAGATAACCGCATGTCTGTGACCTCGCAGCGAGGTCTAATCCCTCCATGTCAAACTAGTACAGAGGGGCTTTAAATGCTTGAGCGCTGTATAATGGCAGCAGGAATACTACTATGTGACGTAACGCCATGAGTGGCAAATGTGCCAGAAATGAGCGCTGTACAAGAATCCACTCAATTTTGTTTTATTTTATTTATTTACCAACAGCAATACAATTTTTCATACAATAATTTACATACACAAGAAGAGAAAATATTGGTTGGTAAAAGGGCCAGATAATAGCACGTGTGCTCGTCGAGCCTCACCCCTTAAACAGCTAAACAAAGTATTTTGGTACAAATCAGTTTAGAAAACGTAACAAAACAAAAAATAATGATTTTACTATTACAATCGATACTTTAAAATAGAAGAATCAGTACTCAACAATGTATTACAATATACAAACTAATAATGTAGAATATGATATGAGATTATTTAACTTGATATTTCATTCATGACTTGTTCAACAAATGACTTGTAACAGAATTCCGAAACCTATTTCTAGACCTTGTCAATCTGACATCAACAGGTAATCTATTCCAAAATTTACTGCCCACAAAAGACAATGAAAATTGACCTTGTGTCGTTCTTAATTTTGGAAGACGTAATTATTGTCCACCTTCTTTTTGTCTTGTGTAATCCCGGTGGGGTCACTCCCCCTCATAGGGTGACACGTATAACCGTTACCACAAATGCAAATAACCTCCTTTTGCGGTCAATTTCAAGGACATTTTGTGAATTTTAGCCCCCTTTTTTACGTCAAAACAAGGACAAAATCGTACTTTGGAATACCCCTATTTATAGGATTGTAAGGACACTTTCGCAAATTTACCTCTATTTTACCATATTTCAAGGACAAGACTCGGCTCCGAGAATTTTTCTTCCCGGTTTTCTCTTTTCCCTTTTCCTGACCCCTATTTATCAATTTCGAGGACACCTGTGCACCCCTATTTTCTTTATTTCGAGGAATATTTTGTCCGCGGACATTGGTTGAAATTGACCCCTTGTTCTATAATGTCACAGTACTCTATCAAAATATGCGGCAAATTGTCATTGACTAGATCAAACATGAAAGTAGAAGTGGATAAATGATGTCAATTGTGCACATTTAGGATTCGCAATCTTTTAAATAATGGATCTGAAGGAGTTCTCCATTCACTAAATGTTATGGCACGAACTGCGATTTTCTGTGAATATAATATACTTCTTAGGCTATAGTCTTATAAGTGCTCCCCCACACCTCTATTCCGTAAGAAATGTGTTGTTGTATAAATGCTTTATATAATAATATCAGAGTACGGCTAGGAACAAAATGTCGCAATCTAAATAGCACTCCAACTTTCTTTCTAATACCCTGATTTACAAAACGAATATGACTATTCCAAGACAAATGTCTATCAATGTGAACCCCAACAAAAGTGGCAACATCAACCTCTTTAATTTCCCTCCAGCGATTTTCAGTTTACTCTAAGAAGATTAAACGAAATGCAAGCCAATGATACTATTTATCCTTGCAATCGAGTCTTGTGCTTCTTTTGGAGATAATCGACAAATTCCGGCTCACTCATGCCAAGTCTTTTACACGTCATATTCTGCTCCTTCCCCTTTCTTATCACATACTCTTTTAGCCCGATCGGACCCGACCAGTAAGATATATCCCGTACCTTAATCCCGCTCATACACTCATCTTCATATCTCTGAGTAAGATCTTTTAACTCTGCGATCTCTGATTCCATGCGGTCACGTCCATAGGCTTCTATCTTCTTCCATAAGGTGCGGTTGAAATGGTCATACATTTTGAAATCCCCATCGTTCCACTTGTTCAGACGGTTCGTCAACGCGTCTGCTTTTGTCGAATTTGTTTGCAAAGTATTCGCGCCTTTCTCTTTCCCAAGAGGTACTCGGATTTTACTGTTGAGATGTACGATCGTCTGTAAATCCCAACACATAAGATCCTTCAGCAGAATCACAGACTCGAAAAAATATTCCGTCAGCAGGACTAGGTCCATCTTCTTGTCAAGAAATTTAATATAATTGTCTACCTTGGTGGAGCTGTTCATATCTTTCTTATCGAAGCCAAGGTCGTAAAGTTCTGGGTCTCTACCACCATAAACTCGCCCCTTCCTGTTGAGGTCGTACTTCTCGAAATAAAACTTGGGGTTCAACGAAAACCCCTCCAGCTCGACCTTGTATAGACGTTTCAATACACGGTAAGAGTACACACTGGAGAAATGGCTAGCTGCTTCACGAATTAATGTGACGAACTTGGTGTCGGCCGGCATTATTTTCTTGAAATCTGCAGAAGCAATGAACAAGGGGAGAGGAAGATAAAGAGAAAGGGCCATTACCAGAGGAAAAAATCATGAAGGTTGTATACTGGGTATAGGGTTTCACGAAATCGCCAAAAAGAACAAGTTCACCGACATCCAATGGAAACGCATCTATAATTATTTATGGTAATTGTATGATCTCCCAAAGCTGTTTTAATTTGTTTCTAATTTGAATTCCAAGTCCTTTCACTGTAGCAATGATCGTATTATATATAATTATTTATGGTAATTGTATATACTTATTTATTTACTTATTATTATGTACTTATATACTTATTATATTTTTTTTTACTTATTAATGATTTATTTCATCCATGTGTTTTTTTACCTTGTTATATTTTTTGTTATGCATTTTATATTGTTAACTGACTTGTTTAGTCTTCGGACTTTTTAATCAGTACTTGAATAAAACCAAATATCTAATCTATTAAAATTAACACTCGTTGCAATCATGCCAATGGCATGTTGGTGAACTTGTATACTATAATGATGGTTTTGTGTAGGTTCATGGTTAAATGATATCCTGATGAATGTATCTTTGAAATTAGTTCCAACATGTTACGAGCCAGGGGTGGAGTGGCCATTCGGAGTATACAGCAATACAAGTCGATCGCTGTTCGTTAAATAGCTAGTGTACGTTTTACTTGAATTTTTACGACTTTTTGACTGAGGAATAACGTAAACTAATACCTCAGTCATGCATTTTGTCAGTCACGCTGCCAAACCGTCATTACAACGACTCAAAATCGAAGAAATCTCGACCATTCAGGGTAATTTTCTTGTTCGGTCTCGTGTCGGTCTCGTGTCGGTGGGGGCGGTCGCCCCCCCCCCCCCCAAAAAAAAAAAAAAAAAAAAAAAAACGCCGGCCAAAAAATAAAGAGAGAGAGAGAAATAAGAAAGGAAGAGGACGTAGGAAGAAAAAGGATTAAGAGTCGAGAACGGTAAAAGGAATTGACTTGTTTCTCTAATAATTTGATGAAACGTCAAGGCTTCCGCGCTTTGCGCGGGAGGGGCGGGGGGAACTGAATTCAGATAAGTATTAAGAGTCGAGAACGGTACAACGAATCGTCTTCTTTCTCTAATAATTTAATGAAACGCCAAAGCTTCCTCGCTTCGCGCGGGAGGGGGGGGGGGCGAACTGAATTCAGACAATGATTAAGAGTCGAGAATGGTACCACGAATCGTCTTCTTTATTTCTTTAATAATTTAATGAACCTTCAGAGCTTTAGCGCTACGCGCGGAGGAAGGGGAATTTGATTCAAACAAGGATTAAGAATCGTCTTCTAATAATTTAATGAAACGTCAATAGAAACTGAATTTAGACAAGGATTAAGAGTCGAGAACGGTACAATGAATCGCCTTCTTTCTCTAGTAATCTAATGAAACATCAAAGCTTTCGCGCTTCGCGCGGGAGGGGGGGGAACTCCCCCTCCCTGCACCCACCCCCCTAGGGAGCTCACTACCGCCCCCCCCCTAAAATAAAATCCTGGCTACGCGCTTGGCCGGTCTCGGTGATAAATAGACCTCACCAGGCGCGTACGCAGGACTTTTTCAAGGGGGGGGGGGGGGGGGGTTTAACATTTATAAATCGGTCCGAAAATTTCGCAACGACTCAGCCAGCCGCTGAATAAGCGGGGGGGGGGGGAGGGGGGGGGGGGGGGGGGGTAAGAGGTCACTTTTTTTTTTTTTTTTGTCCCCAAAAAATCGCAACGACTCAGCCGACCACTGAATAAGCGGGGGGGGGGGGGGGGGGGGGGGGGGGGGGGGGGGGGGGGGGGGGGGGGCAAGAGGTCACTTTTTTATTTTTTGGTCCCGAAATTTGGAAATTTGACATTTTGCTCAGTTGAGGGGGGGGGGTAAGGTCACCTTTTTTAGGTCGGCCGTGGGCATAATTATTTTTTTTTTTTATTAAAAAAAAAAAAATCAAAAAAATCAAAAGGGGGGGAGGGGTTTTAGGTTTTTTTAGGGGGGGGGTTTACATACATAAAATTACCCAACCCCCCCCCCCGCGTACGCGCCTGGACCTCACCCCCCCCCCCCCAATCATCGGTGCCATCGGGCATTATCACCCCACGAAGACAATACGAAGGAAACAAGAACCTGCCCGATTGTCCTCGGAAAGCAACACGACTACGTGAAACCCTCGCAATGCCATCGTGTAGTCATCGTGTAGCCATCGTATTATAGTACGGTGACATCCAGATGGGACCACGGTGTCAGCGAAGACAACCGAATTTAAGTAGCTCAAGCGTTTCCCATGTGTCATGATAACGTGGACATAATTATGTTGCAATAAGCTGTATTTCTCGTATTTATACTGATTTGTTTTTCAGATTCAATATATCATGTCATGCAATGATTTACATTATGTGTTTTTAATTTGTTTGTAAACCTGTGTAATTCGGCTAAACGCCGCGATGAAAGTTTTATCTGAAATTAACCATTTTGAATGAATGAAAAAATGAATATAAAAAGCCAGCCTCATAGCCAGAGACTTTTTCAAGTATCCCCAAAGTGCCCTATAACTTCGTAAGAAGTGTCAATTTTACATAGGAAAATGGCCCATTTTACCTTAACAAGTGCCCATTTCTCTTTTGACAAGTGCCCCCCTTCACCTCTAATAATTACCCTATTCAAATTTGAGAAGTGCCCCTTTTACTTTGACCAGTGTCTTTTTTCCTTTGTAGGAATTAAGTGCCTCTTCCCCTTTTAATAACTACCCACTTTAACTCCCATAAGCGCACCTTTTATTTTCGCGTGTGCCCCTTTTCCGTTTGATAAGTACCCCCATTATACACAAGAGCTCCTTCCCCTTCTCATAAATGTCCCCCTTTCACCTATTAAAAGTGTCCCATTTCATTCTCATAAGTACCCCTTTTCATATTTAGTCAGTGCCTCTTTTCAGGGGCGATAAACACCCCTTTACACCTCTGATAATTTCCTTTTTAACAATAATACGTGACCCTTTTCCTTTCTAATAATGGACCTATCCCCTTTTCATTAATTCTCATTTTCAATATCAAAATCTGATGGATGCCCCAATTCCGTCGACAAATTTTAAACGTGCCCCTTATTTAAAGTGAATATTAGGGCGATTTCTCCCAAACTAGCTCGCTACACTCACTCGCATTGATTTTATAGATGATATAATTATGTTACTTATCAAAGGTCTTTTCAGTCTTCCGTTATGAGAATGTGAATATAACCCCATCAGTATTGGATTTAATTCTCTTTATAAGAGGCAATTTTTTGCACTGCGACCTTACAAATCTTAACATTTTTCCTCGCTCGCATATGAATATTCAGACCATCATTCCCAACTGCAAAAAATAATGCTTGAACGAATCGTACTCTCAATACGACGTCGTGTAGCAATCGTGTGGCCTTCGTGTGGCCTGCGGGTACACTTCTTATTACAAATTCACATCTTCGTCTTGCCTTCGTGTGTGGTTCGGGTGCCATCGGGTGCCATCGTGTGACCTTCTGTAGGCATCGTACTTGCTTCGGCTATTAGTTGGCTGTTGACCAACTTCGGGGCTAACTTCGTGCGAAGTTCAATTTTCCTGCATCGTGTGTCCATCCTATGTCAACTTCGGGACAATGTGACGCGGGCATTACGATTGCCTCAGATGCCCTCACGAATGGCCCGATATGGCCCGATGTGTTTACGATCAGAGCCGAATTTGGAATTGTGTGTCTATCTTATGTCAACTTCGGGACAGTGTGACGCGGGCATAAGCAAGTACCTGTAAACACGACGAAAAGCACTAATCGAAAAATCCACCTATGGAGTGTGGGATTTTGAAACGCTGGCAGAAATTTTACCGGTTTTTGCAGTGTTAAAGAGAAAGTTGAGTTCTGGTCATGCGATTGCATTGTCAAAGAAACAGTGTGGAATCGATCAGAAAAGGTTGATCATCTAGCATATATATTGGTGTGCAGTACTGCAAGGATCTGGAATCATCAAAACGATAAGAACTTTGGCCCAGTCTTGGTAAAGTTACAAGCACTGTACACAGAAATATGTATATGGGACCATACGAGCATGTGGCGTAAAAATACGTCCCGATTATTATACTGTTACATGCAATATTTAGAATATTAAGATATTTGAAGAGCCATGCTTTTCAGGGAACATTTTTAATCTGACGTTCTTCCAAACTTGCATAATAACAATGATAAAGCTCACAAATTATTGTTCACCTCTTCCAAGAACTCAGCATTCTCTTTAATGCTTGCTCACAAAACATTTTAATTAGTTAATAATTCGGGTTTTTGTCACGTTTAACTCTCCTTGCTTCCGCGCGATAGCATGCAGAGCATGAGAGGAATGCCCAAGTCGCTCATGACTGTACACAGTTAAAATTTTTGTGAACAAGTTGTTTAAAAGTTTAAACAACTCTTGATTAACGGGTGACCTGATCTAAGAGTTGTTTAAAATGTTAAGCAACTCGAGTTGTTTAAAGTTTAAACACTTAGTTGATCAACATTTTGAACAACTTGTTTAAAATCACAATTTAAACAACCGGTGTTGTTTAAAGACGGTTGTTTAAAACGGAGCTGTTGTTCAGTGGAGGTTGTTTACACCAACTGGGTTGTTTAAAGAAAGTTGTTTAAAAAGGAGCTGTTGTTCAGTGGGGGTTGTTTACACCAACTGGGTTGTTTAAAGAAAGTTGTTTAAAAAGTAGCTGTTGTTCAGTGGGGGTTGTTTACACCAACTGGGTTGCTTAAAGAAAGTTGTTTAAAATGGAGCTGTTGTTCAGTTGGGGTTGTTTAAACCAACTGGGTTGTTTAAAGAAAGTTGTTTAAAAAGGAGCTGTTGTTCAGTGGGGGTTGTTTACAACAAAAGGGTTGTATAATGGGGTATAATTTGGGTTTGATACTCTGAATAAGTGCACCACTACTTCTGGGTCTCTATATAAGTATATGAAGACTAGGGTAATTCTGCAATTCATGAATTAGCGCCAAAACAGTGCCCATTTTGCATGAGCGCGCATGCACGCACGTATAAACTGCATATATAGGCATGCATGCAATCTCTATGGCAAGGAATTTAGCACACGTTATAACCGAGTGCGCGATCAGTGCCGCACTGCATGACGCGACGATTTTAAGTCTACCTATATTCTGACATTTGCGTACAGGTACCGAAAATTTTAACTGAACTTACGCTATAAGTTAAAAACTTCAAATTGGTTAATAGAAAAGTGATTTCAATTAAGCCATTGAATCCCCAGTCACTTAGAAGCGTGTCGGTAGCTTGGTCGGCCATGATATCGATGTGTGTTGTGTTGTGGGTTGGAAAGTAATAACTATTAAGCTAAATAAATGTAAGTATAGAGACAAACAAAATGGAGCCTGCAGAAACACGTGTGGTTGCTTTGGTAGTTTAATCCAGACTCAATGTCCATGTGCTTTTACATATGTATCAATCTGTGTAATCAACAGAAGACCCTTGCATACACTTGCATTGTGTGTATGCATCTAATATGAATAACAATGAGCTGTGCCTTAACAGCTGCACTGCATTTCTAAGTGGCATGTCAATTTCAATTGCATGTTAGTTTCAAGGAACCTGTTTCTAAACATAACAATGTGCGATAAAGCCTTTAGCCAACACGCACTTTACTGGCACGAGACACATGACGTCATATGTAAACAACACTGTCTAAAAGCTCTCGTATAGTAAATATAGCAGTCATTAAATTTTAAACAACGAATGTTTAACAAAATTACTTCTGTTTCGAGCAACATTGTTTACAATTTGATCAACTGTTGTTTAAGATAGTGTACAACTGTAAGTGAACATCACTTTTTTAAACAGCGTTTTTACTGTGTATGCGCACTACTCACCCAAAAAACAGAATGAACAAACACCGACGGTTTTTAACTGTTTTTCTCCCGTAGTGTAAATGACAATATACAAAAAAAAAGCACCGATGTTTTTTCAAAATGGTTTTGGGGCTGTGATGTGAATGGGCATACCTGGTAGGAATTTGTTTCTTGAATGCTTTGAGTGCCATAGGCGGGCCATAGGGCAGCTGGGTTAAAGCCAGAGTAATAGATACTTAATTTGAGAATCCCTTGGGACGGATATGTCTCCAAGTCCTCAATACAAAATGTAGCCATTATTATTATTATTATTATTATTGTTGTTGTTGTTCCTGTTGTTGTTGTTGTTATTATCATCGTCATCATCATCATCATCATCATCATCATCACATCATCATTATTATTATTATTATTATTATTATCATTATCATCATTATTATTATTATTATATTATTATTATTATTATTATTATTATTATTATTATCATTATCATTATTATCATTATCATTATCATGATCATTATCAAATTAACATGTAAAATAAAACGTACCTTCATAAAAGAAGCGTGCATGGTTTGCCAGTATGTTGTACTGTTTTCCCGGTGGCGGTTTCAATACTCCCGAAGGCTTGAATTTGTCCACTCCTTCGACATAGAAACCATTGGCTGGCAGCATAAAAGTCAAATCCTTCTCGTCCCCAAAACGGTAGAAGATATTCTGAAGCGTAGAACTGGCCGTCTTGTGTACTTTGATATACACCACGTCCCTGGCAGGCGTGCACGTCGTCCCAGTTTGCGACGTTACAGATTCTGAGACACGTTTTGGCGCCATTTCGGGACTGCCTTTTTGGTCTCCGATCCTCGTATCCATATCAGAGACGCGTGGTTGTTGCAGTTGAAAGCTGTGTTATGGAATGATCGAATAAAGAATTTAAGTTCATGTATACCACACATAAATGTACAAGGTATGAGGCTGTGGGCTGCAGTCCCAGCTATAATCTTGAAAATAGGCCTACCAGTATTCGGGTAGTGTATGGCGAAATAACATTTGTTAAACATAATGAAAGTGACTGTTTATATTTGCTCACTCGTTTTGCTTGCTTGCAACATTTAAAAATGGAAATTGATATACGGGGAACAGGCAGCCACCAGATTACTTCTATTTATCAGTCAAACTTAAATAAAACAAGAACCTTGGAAATTTGTAACCGTAAAGCTATTAACTGATAATAGAACTATGCTTTGAAAACGGCTAGGACACGAAATTGCTTGAATTTCCGACAGAAAGTGCGAATTAATGGGAATCGGTTAATAGTCGGAAAAAATCTGAAACTCTCACTTAACTGTTTCCCTCATGTTTCAACTTTCATTACATCCTAGTAAATGTCGGGGTGGAATTCCCCTTTGTTTGACCTTCGACTTCCCCTTTTATTTGAACGTTTACTTTCCCTTAGTTTGACCTTTGACTTTCCCTTAGTTTGACCTTTGACTTTCCCTTTGTATGACATTTGAATTATACAGAAAGTATACATTCTAATCTAAGAACTCGGGCTTACTCTTTCGACGTCTTGCTCATATCACTCTTTTTCTCATGGGGCAGAGATGTGCGGACGATGTCTCGCATCGTGTCAGTAGTCGAACGAGTTACATTCGTTTTTAAATGAGCGAATAGGAATACGACCACGGAGACGAGCAGGGCGATGATTATCTTCCGGTGTTTCGACATTCTGACCATACCTAAGGCTCACATCCTGGGGGATGGACACAGGGGCAGAAGAAAGAGAGGCTTAAATAATAATAAGACAATTGAACAAATACAGATAATAATGCAATGCGTCGGAACGTCATGGGCAGAAAAGGTTAACTTTGGTAAAATGTAAAAATCTACTTTGTACTTTGTAGGCCTACTTTTTAAAAAGATAATCAAAGTGGTGGGAAGTGTTCAAAATACACTAAACCAGTGATAATTATTTTCCATTTGCCATACGCACCAAATAAGGCATTTTTACAAATAAATTGACCACCTCCATTCTGGTTGACACATTCTGACAAACAAATTCGTCGTGTGCTTGCCCAACACAGCAACATTCGCCGTATTTTACGTGTCCAATCAACTCATAATGACAATTATGAGTTAAGTGTAACGCGTTTATAACTGCTTTCATTCTTCTCTTGACTTCCACGTACCCTAATCTCATTTTTTCTTTCTCTTCTTTGCTTTTCTTTTTCGCTAGTCGATAAGAGGGGAAGATCGAGTTATTTTTTTGTTGTTTGTTGGGGGAATAGGGGGCCAGGCCCGCTTGCCCCCCCCCCCCCCCGCCCCTGGATCCGCGCCTGGCCACAGCCACAGAACTCTGATGTGTTCTAACTTGAATTCATTATTTCTCTTCTCACTTGTCTTCTTCTCACTCTCTCTCTCTCTCTCTCTCTCTCTCTTCCTCTCTATCTCTCTATTTCTATGGTTTTTCCTGTCTGTACCCATCTTTATGTCTCTTTCTCTCACCTTCTCCTTCTCACTTTTCTCTCCATATCCCCCTCTCCCCCCCTCCCCCCCCCCCCCCCCCTCTCTCTCTCTCTCTCTCTCTCTCCCTCTCTCCCCCCTCTCTCTCTCTCTCTCTCTCTCCCTCTCTCCCCCTCTCTCTCTCTCTCTCTCTCTTTCCCCCTTCTGTGCTGATTATATCCTACTTTATTTAGTCCACCTAGTGTTATACTACATTATGAAACGCAATTATAATGCTTTGTGTCGCTCAGTGTCATTGATTAAACGTCGACAAGTATAGTCGTACACAATACAACGCACGTTGCTAGGTAGGGCAAGAATATTACAAAGATTTTGCTTCAGAGTAGAAATACCAGAAGAAAAAATTATCAGACGTAAATATGGCAGTGGAAAATACAAAAGGTACATCCTGAATGCCAGAGGTAAAATTGGATTTGATGTTTACATTAGATTTCATACTTGCTCCGTTTATAAACTATGTACCAATGGATTCTCTATTTCATTTAAATTTAACCTCCACTGTTTTAGTGCACCAGCCAGGCGTAATTTTTTTGTTTTTTTGTTAATACTTTGGACGGCATTTTGGGGATATTGCGCATGGCATCCATGCAAAACACTTGCGAAAATATTAAAGAATAGCGTAGGGGTAGATGCAACGCTCATTCGTTTACTAACAATTAATTTTTTACTCAAAAATTAGAGTATGTCAAGAATCATGATTTTTCATTTTTTGACCGAATATATATTATTTAAGATTAAGCATATAATATATATTGTCATACAACACAAAGAAATAAATGATCAGATAATGTGATGGATAAGTCATTTATAATGCTATTCTAAAGGAGCTTAATAAATGTCTTTATACAGGATGAGCATGTTGAATTTAATTGAATTTTCTTCGGCAAAACATACAAATAAAAATTATATTTCAACGATATAACGTATACAAAATATAACAATTTTTTTAACGTATAAACAATATAATAATAATAGAAATGTTGACATTAAAACGAAATTAAAAACAAATTTGACTGATAACACACTATCAAGAATGATTCATAAATAAATCTACCGGAGAATTGGCTATCACAGTAACCGTTTGCTTGATATCGTGGTAGCCCGGGGTGGGGTGGATGATTACAAGAATTCAAAAAAATACTGATGATGGTGATGATGATGATGATAATGATTATGAGAATGAAAATGAAAGTACATGTATTTTAATGTAAATATGTCTGGCAGTCTAAAGTATCTAAAGTGATGGATGTTTATAGAAATCTGGAAAAAATATTTAATATTTAATCAGCACTGGGAAAAGATCAAACAATGTACTTTGCCAGAAATGCTTTCTTCGTATTGAAGTTAATTTAATTCAAGGTTTGACATGATTGTATTAAGTCTGGGAGTACATTCCATATATCAGGACCATGATGTCATATTGATTTATGCAGGATCAATATTTAAGGATTTCTCAAATGAAGTTTAATTAGGGTAGGGTAAGAATGGAAAGTGTCATTTAATAAAAAAAGAAATTCTTAAATGAATAAGGAAGCAGGCAGTGATATTATTTATAATTCGCCAAGTTAATTTAATGTTAGATTTTAATTTATTTAATTTTCTGAATTTCTGAATTTTACGGGAGGTTCGAATAACGTTGGTTAATTTATTCCCGTATTATTTGAATCTATCTAACTTTTAAGTGGTTGCGTCACATAATTAAATCTTACTTTATATACCCTATTTCTCGTATGAATAGATCTTAAAATGGCCTTAGTTATCCATGGCATTTTACCACGTTGATTATTACATTTACTTTTTATCAAAGGATAAAATTATTATATGCCATGTTTACGTTTGACTGATTAAATACATCTGACCATTCTTCATGGATTAAATAATGGTTGTTATATTCAATATAATTCTCGGGTGTTTGTTTCATCTACATATTAATTCGTTTGAGTTTTCAGTGACCATATTTTTATAACGTGTAACAAAAAATTAGAAGACGATCTGATATTTCTGAATAAAGTAGGCCACAAGTAATAATTTTATCAAAAATGTTTGAAAATATATTATCGATCAAAGTCGAAGAATGATAATTGATTCTTGTTTTTGTTTTTGTTAATATGGTGGTAGCAGGCGTTCGAATACTTCACATTAAGAAATTGTTCAGAATTTCTGTTATTTTTATCCAATAAAATATCAATATTAAAATCTCCCATTTGTATTTTCTCGAGAAAGAGTAGTAAAGAATCTCTCCAAGCTCTCATTAAATAAATCAATATGACCATTAGGTGGTCAACAAATTAGGCCGACCATAACATTTTTTTTCCTCAATTTCTATAAATAACACTTCACTTTCTTCAAAACAAATCGTCCCTTTTTTCACGAAGTGACGGTAATGAGGAAAATCGCATATAATTTCAGTTTGTTGTTGTTGTTGCATTTTTGGACATCATTCACTAACATCTTGAACCTCACAAACTTCGAACCACAATAATATCTAATTATGTCACTATGACGATGACGTGAACAAGAAATACCTAGTAAAAGGAGTTCCTGTTCACGAAGTGACGGGAGTGAAAAATTTGGCAATTTGGAACAGTCACAGACCATGAAAAGGTGACTTTGTTATAGTTTTTTTTTTAGGTAAAGTAATGTGATACACTCTTTTGAGTCATTCTGATTCTTTGTAAGCAATAAATGTCCATGGGCGCAGAAATGTATACAAAATGCACTGCCGTTCCACACATCGTCACCATATAGGAGTGAAATGTGTGATGCAAAACTTAAACGACCAAATCGTGTCTGAACAAACACACATCTAGAATAAATACCTTAAGTGGAGGATCTTTCTTATCTCATTTCACATCAAATATTGATTTAATAAGGGTTTTTTTTACATCTGCTTAAGTTAAGAATAAGAACAAAGTTTTACTTTTAACGAAAGTACTCAGAGTTTAAATCCTACTTTTGTTTAGTTTTAGTTTTTCTTTTACTTTTAGTATAACTATTAGTAATTTAGCTAATTATACATTTTATTTAGAGTCTATAACTCTAGATCATCATTTCATAATTATCAATTTATGTCAGCCACTAATCAGTAATCTAGAGGTGAGTAGATCAGGATCTATACAAAACTGAGTCACTGTGACTTTACTTGTAAAGGTGTGCTTGGGGCGTAAGCAACTTCAGGGCTCCAAGCCCAAGGCCAACATGTCCAAGGGCAAGAGGAGTTATGAAAATTATCATCATGCTGAGCTGAGTTGGCATGGGATGTAGACCCTCCTGGTTAACTGATAGGGAATTCACTGACTTGCCCTTTCAAGCAAAAAGGGACATGAATGAACAGTTATTTAACAAATGAAAATCAAATAGTCTACGGTAAATGGC